CAGAACTGATGGTAACCTATCTAACCTAACCAACCTAACTTAACCTAATCAACCTAACCTAACCTACCCTTGTACCCTACCCTGCCTTGCCTTACCTTACCTTACCTTTATTACCGGCCACCATAAATTAATTGTGACTTTTTTTCCTGTGACTTTTTTTCCTAGCCAAAATTGTGACTTTTTCTGCTTTTTTTCCTGTGACTTTATTACCGGCCACCTCCTTGAAGACAGTAAAGAAAATTAAAGAAAGAGCCAGACAGTCGGAGGAAGTGACATCGACTATTATACAAATCTGCACCAGTGAGTACCCACTTGATGCTGCAGGTGCAGGTGCTCTTCCTAAGAAAGAATCTCTGGCAAGAATGGTGCGCAGACAACGCATGGCACCAGACGGGACTTTTAACTAACGACTTACGGAAATCAATTAGAGAAGACATCATCCATAAGTGACAACCTGCTAATTCTGTCAACACCTCGAAACTTACAGCTTCTTGCTTTCAAGACCACTGGCTGTGTGATGGGACATTTGATTGTGCGCCAGTAGGCTTTCAGTTATATACAGTGCATGTTATGCTGGATGAGAGCCATACAATGAATACTGCATCGCAAGGAACAAAAACCAAGCAACTTATGACTTGATTTTAGCACCCTCAAGCAAGTGAGACCAGATCTCAATCCTGTTTCAGTCACCATTGACTATGAAAGAGCGGCTCTTAATAGCATAACAACATGTTCCCAAACACAAAATTTTTGAATGTTTTTCCATTTCGGGCAGTGCTTGTGAGACAAACACAGGGCTTAGGACTACAGACTTGGTATAATGAAAGAAATGCACTCATCGTAAAGTCCGTTCAAGCTTTAGCATTTGTGCCAGTCAGTGACGTTGCTGAAAGCTTCAATGAATTTGTCTCAGCACTAGATGATGAAACTTATGAACTATCTGAGTTTCTTGGCTACTTTGAAGCGACATGGTTTGGTGCTGTACAGCGTGGTAGACGACGAAAACCAGCATTCGAACTCAGGCTGTGGAACATATTGGAGAGGAACACACAAGGCCTTCCACGGACAACAAATTCTATTGAAGGATAGCACAGAGGGTTTGAGCAGAGAATGGCAATCACCCACCCCACCGTTTGCCGTCTCGTTTCAAAACTAAGAAAAGAGCAGTCGGACTGGGAGTTGACAATTGAGCAGGCAGCAGCAGGAATGGTATAGAAACCCAAGAAGAAGTACTAGATATTAAACACAAGACTGAAGTCTGTCATTGAGAAATATGAGGAGTATCCAAGAATCGACTTCTTGAGAGCAATTGCCCACAATCTTTAAATATTTATGAACATTTCGTTTTAACAGCAATTTTTATAAAACAATTACATTACTATCAATATATTTTATCCTTCAGTAAATGTGCAAAAAAAATTGTATATCATGCAAATGTATCACATTGAAATTATGTTATCTTTTTATCCTTTGTTTTATAAAGCAAATACATTGCAAAGAAGCAATTACATTGCAGTAAATATATTTTATCCTTTAGTATATGTGCAAAAAAGTACATTGCAAAGAAGAAAAAATAAATAAAAGTCCATATGTCCATTCGGCAAAATGTCCGTTCGGTCTATTGTCCGTTCGGCCAAATGTCCGTCGGTTCGATGTCCGTTCGGTCAAATGTCCGTCGGTGAAACGTCCGTCTGCCAAATGTCCTTCGGCCATCTGTCAGGAGCCGGGGGTGTGTGATGTAAGAGGTAGCTGGGGGTGTGTAATACAGGAGGTGGCTGGGGGTGTGTGATGTAGGAGGTGGCTGGGGTGTGTGATACAGGAGGTGGCTGGGGGTGTGATACAAGAGGTGGCTGGGGTGTGTGTGATACAGGAGGAGGTGGATGGGGGTGGGGTGATGTAGGAGGTGGCTGGGGAGTGTGATACAGGAGGTGGCTGGGGGTGTGTGATGTAGGGAGGTGGCTGGGGGTGTGTGATATAGGGTGGCTGGGGTGTGTGATAGAGGTGGCTGGGGGTGTGTGATATAGGAGGTGGCTGGGGGTGTGTGATGTAGGGTGGCTGGGGTGTGTGTGTGATATAGGAGGTGGCTGGGGTGTGTGATGTAGGAGGTGGCTGGGGGTGTGTGATGGGAGGTGGCTGGGGGTGTGTGATGTAGGAGGTGGCTAGGGGTGTGTGCTACAGGAGGTGGCTGGGGGAGTGTGATATAGGAGGTGGCTGGGGTGTGTGAAACAGGATGTGGTTGGGGTGTGTGATGTAGGAGGTGGCTGGGGTGTGTGATACAGGAGGTGGCTGGGGGTGTGTGATATAGGAGGTGACTGGGGTGTGTAAAACAGGAGGTGGTTGGGGGTGTGTGATGCAGGAGGTGGCTGGGGTGTGTGATGTAGTAGTTGGCTGGTGGTGTGTGATGTAGGAGGTGGCTAGTGGTGTGTGATGTAGGAGGTGGCTGGGGTTGTGATGTAGGAGGTGGCTGGCGGTGTGTGATGTAGGAGGTGGCTGGGGGTGTGTGATGTAGGAGGTGGCTGGGGGTGTGTGATAGAAGAGGTGGCTGTGGGGTGTGTGATGTAGGAGGTGGCTGGGGTGTGTGATAGAGGAGGTGGCTGTGGGGTGTGTGATGTAGGAGGTGGCTGGGGGTGTGTGATAGAGGAGGTGGCTGTGGGGTGTGTGATGTAGGAGGTGGCTGGGGGTGCTTGATACAGGAGGTGGCTGGGGAGTAGAGGTTGTGTTTCATTAAGCGGCTGGGGAGTGCGGAGTGTAAGACCTAGTTTACACGATCAGTCTCAGAACATGTTTTCGAATCATGGAAACGAAGCCGTGCTCGGGCAGTGATCGTGTATACTGCAACACTGAACCACCAACCATTCCCGGGCAGTTACGTGCGGGAGCCTAATAGTTGCGTGGCCACCTACGTGTGTCCCTGCCATACCACACAGACGCGCATGTTAAAAGCAACGATGGACGTTGTGCCGTCCCCTACACCTCCCACAAGTGACCCTCAGAAGTCAAGGCCACCATTTGAGTGGACAAAGACGTTAACGTTACAACTTATTGAACTGTATAGGGACCGGCCATGTCTATGGCAAGTCAGAAGTGATGGATACAGAAATAGAAACGAAAAATGTAAATCTTATGGGGAACTGTATAATTATGTGAAAAATGTAAATCCTATGTGCACACTTGATATTGTCAAGAAGAAAATAAACACATTACACAGTCAATACAGATAGGAGCATGAAAATGATAGCCGCAGTCGCAGCCGAAGTCTGAGGCTAGTGCAGACAGGGTGTGGCAGTTCCGTGCAAACACACAGTCCACTAAACAGTGGTCAGTACCTCTCCTACCACAAGCTTCGCCACTGACCCGAAGCGTGCTCGACCGCCATACGTGGTAACTGATCGTGTAAACGAGCCCTAATAGTTGCGTGGACACCTTCGTGGGTCCCTGCCACTTATAGAGTCCCTCATATTTGTATCCGTCCTGGAAATATGTGGACGAACTTTATCAAGTGTGTTGTACATTTCAGGGGTCATGCAAATGTATCGTTGCACGTCCTGTGTGTCCTCACGCTGCATTTCAGCAAGATTTGGTTATAAGTACCACGATTTATACCTCAACCAATTTTTCACCCACACAGTCCGTTCAATTCAATTTCAATTTCAATATTTATTCCTTGATAGAGGAAGCGGGGTCCTAGTGTTGTCACTAGGTACCCCTATACAATAACACCAGAAGCATCTGACAAGTGTCACAAGTATGTATAAATATTATAAAGGTGCTTACTAAGGCCTAAGGAATGAAGGATATTCTTTTAACACATCATCAATATTTTTTACATAATATCTGGCCAGTATGGGGAGGATCATCGTGTCTTCTTCAGGGGGTCGTGGAGTGGTGGTCCCGCAGGCGTCACGGAAGCGTTGTACGTGGGGACATCTTAGGAGGTAGTAGATAAGGGTGCGGCTGTCGGGTCTTCTGCATAATGCACAAGAGCACTGCTCAGGGGATGCGGGGATACCAATCTCCCAAGCAAAGTCTTACCCAATGATGATACGGGCAGCAATCACGTCCCTTTTCCGCGACCCTTTCCCATAGACATAAGGGAGGTCAGGAAGTTTACGGAGGACATCGTACCAGGTGGACGGGGAGTTGCTTCCCGAGCTTCTCTCTGTTTGCGGCTAATTTGAGTCCTTAGATGTAAAAGTGTTCGAGGAACACCGTAGTCAGGTGTGCCTTGTTACAGCCAGGCTTAGCAAGGCCATCTGTTGCCTCATTCCCCAAGATAGACAGTCCATTTTCTTGTTGTTTTTTCTTCAATATCATCCCAGCGGCCAAAACACACAACAGTGCGGCCGTCCGTCGCCGACTCGTCTGTCTGGGAGCCATGAACCTCTTACCCAGCAGTCTACCACACACTGACCAGTAACGATGGTGTCAGTAAACACACTGTCCACTAAACAGTAGCCAGTACCCTGCTCCGACCCCATGCTTCGCCACTGATCCGAGGCGTGCGCGACCACTATACGTGGTAACTGATCGTGTAAACGAGCCCTTATACTGTACAGAGGTGGCTGGTGAGTAGGGGGTTTGATACAAAAGGTGGCTGGGGAGTAGCTGGGTGTGGTACAGGAGTTTGTTGGGGGAATGTGATACTGGAGGTAGCTGTAGGAGTGTGATGTAAGAGGTGACTGGAGTAGTATGATACAGGAACTGGCTCGGGAGTGGTTGTGTTTGTAATACAGGAGGTGGACGGGGTGTCAGAAATGTAATACAGGAGGTGGATGGGGTGTCAGAAATGTAATACAGAAGATGGGCTGGGGAGTGTGATGCAGGAGGTGGCTGGAGAGGCAGTGTGATTCAAGAATTGGCTGGGGACACGTAGTACTCGAGTTACTGAGCCGTATTTGCGATTCCATCAAATAGGCATACAATATCTTAATGATTGATGAAAATATCAAATATTTTTCACCAGAAGAATACTCATGTTATAGAAAGATAATTGTACTTACGTTGTAAGTAATCATCTTCATCTTTACTTATTACAGAGACAAGTTCACTGCCGAAGTTTTCGTTACAAGCTGAGTGTGCTAAGTCCCAGGTGGTTTGCTTATCTGAATAGTAGTAGCAGTGGTTGTCCCAGTAGGTCCATCCTGCTGGACACCTCACTGTTGACGTAAAAATTTTTTTATTAGTTGAATCGTAGATATATAATTACTCCCAACATTGTTTATTGTTATAAATCAACATGCATTTGCACATTATTGTTACCAATACTAACAATAGACAGTAAAGAGAGTTGGCAGAGATGGTAGCTATACACTGTTTGATGTAATAACTGTAAAAAGTAGTTTACATTCGTCGCCTTACTAATAAGGAAAGTTAAGGCCTGAAAACACCCACCCGTCTTCATGGTGATATTATAAAATTTTAGGTAGAGCAACGCATAAGAGTCACATTCGTTCACATAACAAATATTAAGTAATAAGAACACACAGAAGGCAAATTCATTCATTAAAAAACAGTAAACACATTTCTTCATTAGCAAATAAATCATCAAAGCAAATACATACTCGGAAAGATAAGTTTAAACTTGCCGTAAATTTATGAAGTTATATGTATACCTTTAAAAGTGAACAAAGACAAGATGTAAAAAATCAAATATTATAGAGCTAAGAGAATCAGTCCCTCATGTAACTTATAAGGAGTTTAAGGAGGTAGGAGCTGGTAGCTGTGGTGAATGTTGGTAACATTGGTGAGTGCTGGTAACAGTGACAAGTAATAGTACCAGTGGTTAGTGTTAGGAACAGTGCTGGTTTAGTAACAGTGGTGAGTTTTAAAAGTAGCAGTACAACGGTAACTGTGAGTAACAAAGGTGGATGTTAGTAACAGTGGAGTGTTAGTAACTGTAGTAAGTGTTAGTAACAGTGGTGAGTATAAATAACAGTGGTGGGTATAAATAACAGTGGTGAGTGTTAGTAGCCTTGGAGAGTTAGTAACAGGGTGAGTAATAATTACAGTGGTAAGTATGGAGTGGTAATAAGAATGGTGAATGTTAGTAACAAAGTTAAGTGTTAATAACAGCTTTCACAGTGGTGAAAGTTGGGAATGCTGTAGAGATGCCGTAGCTATTTCTTTCCTGAGCAGTTGCTTCAGCTTAATAAGGGATTCATTCGTCCTAGGTAAGTACTGCTCTCATATATAGGGTGGCTCTTCTTCTGTCCAACTGTTAGATAAGGTGAAATCAAAGGCATTTCGTCTTATTAACTCCCCTCCATTAGTCGAAATTCTCTCTTCCCGTTCTCTTTGCGGCAATGTTGCTTCACTCTTTCTCTCTTTTACAGGTACTTTTAACGGGCAATGTTCGATGGATTTTACATCCTGTGCAACGCCGGCAAGACCGTTGGCTCGTAACACTTCTCTCCCGCTTTGCCCACCTTTTTTGTGTGGATATCAGTCACACTAGAATAAACCGTTATAGTACAAACTTCTTACCTCACACAGCCAAACTGTGGAATGCTCTGCCTTCTTTTGTGTTTCCATAGTCTTACAATCTGTCTCAGTGTAGATTGATATAGTATTTTTCTCTTCTACTTTTTAATTTGTTTTTATTCTTACTTTTTCCCTTCAGGCCCCGTTGTGGGTCGATGACCTGTGCCTGGGTGGGCTATACCCCGTACAAAAAAGAAAAAATATTTTGTGAGTATTAGTAACAGTGGTGGGTATAATAACAGTGGTAAGGGTTAGTAACAGTGGGGAGTATAATAACAGTGGTAAGTGTTAGTAACAGTGGAGAGTATTAGTAACAGTGGTAAGTGTTATTAACAGTGGTGAATAATAATAACAATGGTGAGTATTAGTAATAGAGGTGAGTGTTAGTAACAGTGGTGGGTATAATAACAGTGGTAAGGGTTAACAGTGGGGAGTTATAATAACAGTGGTGGGTAAAATAACAGTGGTAAGGGTTAGTAACAGTGGGGAGTATAATAACAGTGGTAAGTGTCAGTAACAGTGGAGAGTATTAGTAACAGTGGTAAGTGTTAGTAACAGTGGTTAATAATAATAACGATGGTGAGTATTGGTAACAGAGGTGAGTGTTAGTAACAGTGGTGGGTATAATAACAGTGGTAAGGGTTAGTAACAGTGGGGAGTATAATAACAGTGGTAAGTGTCAGTAACAGTGGAGAGTATTAGTAACAGTGGTAAGTGTTAGTAACAGTGGTTAATAATAATAACGATGGTGAGTATTGGTAACAGAGGTGAGTGTTAGTAACAGTGGTGGGTATAATAACAGTGGTAAGGGTTAGTAACAGTGGGGAGTATAATAACAGTGGTAAGTGTCAGTAACAGTGGAGAGTATTAGTAACAGTGGTAAGTGTTAGTAACAGTGGTTAATAATAATAACGATGGTGAGTATTAGTAACAGAGGTAAGTGTTAGTAACAGTGGTGGTTATAATAACAGTGGGGAGTATTAGTAACAGTGGTAAGTGTTAGTAACAGTGGTTAATAATAATAACGATGGTGAGTATTAGTAACAGAGGTGAGTGTTAGTAACAGTGGTGGGTATAATAACAGTGGTAAGGGTTAGTAACAGTGGTGAATAATAATAACGATGGTGAGTATTAGTAACAGAGGTAAGTGTTAGTAACAGTGGTGGGTATAATAACAGTGGTAAGGGTTAGTAACAGTGGGGAGTATAATAACAGTGGTAAGTGTCAGTAACAGTGGAGAGTATTAGTAACAGTGGTAAGTGTTAGTAACAGTGGTTAATAATAATAACGATGGTGAGTATTGGTAACAGAGGTGAGTGTTAGTAACAGTGGTGGGTATAATAACAGTGGTAAGGGTTAGTAACAGTGGGGAGTATAATAACAGTGGTAAGTGTCAGTAACAGTGGGGAGTATTAGTAACAGTGGTAAGTGTTAGTAACAGTGGTTAATAATAATAACGATGGTGAGTATTAGTAACAGAGGTGAGTGTTAGTAACAGTGGCGACTGTTAGTAACAGTGGTGAGTGTTAGTACTAGAGGTAAGTGTTAGTAACAGTGGTTAATAATAATAACGATGGTGAGTATTAGTAACAGAGGTGAGTGTTAGTAACAGTGGTGAGTAATAATAACAATAGTGAATATTAGCAAAAAGGGGTAAGTGTTAGTATCAGTGGTGAATAATAATAATAAGAGTGAGTATTAATAACAGAGGTAAGAGTTAGTTACAGTGGGGAGTATTAGTAACAGTAGTAAGTGTTAGTAACAGTGGCGACTGTTAGTAACAGTGGTGAGTGTTAGTACTAGAGGTAAGTGTTAGTAACAGTGGTAAGTGTTAGTACTAGAGGTAAGTATAAGTAATAATGGTGAAGGTCAGTACTAGAGGTGAGTGTTAATAACATTAGTAAATGTAAGTCACAATGGTGAAGGTCAGTACTAGAGGTGAGTGTTAATAACATTAGTAAATGTAAGTCACAATGGTGAAGGTCAGTACTAGAGGTGAGTGTTAATAACATTAGTAAATGTAAGTCACAATGGTGAAGGTCAGTACTAGAGGTGAGTGTTAATAACATTAGTAAATGTAAGTCACAATGGTGAAGGTCAGTACTAGAGGTAAGTGTTAATAACATTAGTAAATGTAAGTCACAATGGTGAAGGTCAGTACTAGAGGTAAGTGTTAGTAACAGTGGTGAAGGTCAGTACTTGAGGGAAGTATAAGTAACAGTGGTGAGTGTTAGTAGCCGTGGAGAGTTAGTAACAAGGTGAGTATTCGTTACAGTAGAAAGTGGTAGTAATAGCGGTGTGATAATAACAATGATGAGTGTTAGTAACAGAGGAAAGTTTTAGTAACAGCTTTACAGTGGTGAAAGCTGGGAATGCTGTACAGATGCCGTAGCTACTTATCTCCTGTGCAGTTGCTTTAAGTTTGTAAGAGATTCATTTGTACCAAATCGGAGAACTGCTCTCATGTCTAGGGTGGCTCTTCTTCAATCCAACTGTTAGATAGGGTTGAATCAAAGGCATTTCGTCTTATTAACTCTTTTTCCTTTAGTCGAATATCTCTCTTCCCTTTCTCTTCGCCCCAATGTTGCTTCACTCTCTCCTATTTACAGGTACTTTATCGGGCAACGTTCGGTGGATTTGGCTTCCTGTGTACCGCCGGCAAGGCAGAGTACTCCTAACACTCGTCTTGCCCGCGGTGGTCAGACTAGAATAACCCGCTATAGACCATCCTTCTTTCCTCACACAGCCAAACTGTGGAATGCTCTGTCTTCTTTTGTGTTTCCATACTCTTACAATCTGTCTGGCTTCAAAAAGCTCGTTTTCCGGCATCTTCGTGATGTAGATTAATAGTCTTTTTCTCTTTTAACTTTTAATTTCTTTTTGCTATTTTTTTCGCCAGTTGTGGGACGATGACCAGTGCCCGGTTGAGCTATACACCGTGTAAAAAAAAAAAAGATGAGTGCTAGTAACAACAGTGGTTAGGGTTAGTAGTAGTGGTGAGCACCAATAACATTGATAAGTGTTAGTATCAGTGGTGAGTATTAGTATTAGTGGAAAGTCTTAGTAACAGTGGTGAGTGTTAAAAACATTGGTGAGTGTTAGTAACATAGTTAAGTGTTAGTAACGGTGGTGGGTGTTAGTAACAGTGGTAAATGGTAAGTGTTAGTAACATTGTTGTGTGTTAGGAACAGTGGTAAGTGATAGTAACGATCGTGAGTTTTAGTAAGAGAGGTGAATGTTAGTAACTGTGGTAAGTGTTAGTAATAGGGATGATGGTTAGCAACAGAGTTTAGTAACAGTGGTGAGTGTTACTAACAGAGGTGAATGTTAGTAATAGGGATGAATGTTAGTAACAGAGGTGAGTGTTAGTAACAGTGGTGAGTGTTAGTAACAGGGATGAGAGTTAGTAACAGTGGTGAGTGTTAGTAACTTTGGTGGGTGTTAGTAACAGTGGTAAATGTTGGTGAATGTTAGGAACATTGATAGGTGTTAGTAAAAGTAGTGATTGTAAGTAACAATGGTGAGTGTTACTAACAGTGGTGCGTGTTAGTAAATTCGGTGCGTGTTAAATAATAGGGGTTAGGATTACTAGAAGAGATGAGTGTTAGTAACAGAGGTGAGTGTTAGTAACAGAGGTGAGTGTAAGTAACAGTGGTGCATGTTAATGAACTTTGGTGGGTATTTGTAATAGTGGTGAGTGTTAGTAACATTAGTGTGTGCGAGTAACATGGATGAGTGTTGATGAGTATTAGTGACAATGAAAGGAGTTAATAACTATGGTAAGTGTCGGTAACAGTGGTAAGCGTTAATATCAGTGGAAATGCTAGTAAAAATAATACGTATTAGTTACTGTAGGTTATGAATCTAAGCTACTGTGCCGAATAGCATTTATATATGTAATCACGTGGCAACACTGCACGT